CAAAGTCGCTCAGATCCTCATGCTACCCATTTTTCCTGCTTCTGACACATCAACGTTGAGGACAAAATGTTCACTTGCTGCCTAATATATCCCAGCCACTGACAAATGCCATGCTAACCAGATAATCAGTGTTATTCACTTCACCTACCAGTGCTCACAATGTTATGGCTGATTGGTGTACTGTGATGCTGTAAGCAAGGTGATATATTTTAGGAAAACTGTCGTAGTATAAAGCGATATTGTGATAATTTCTTAAAATTTATTTACTCAAAAAAAAAAAAGAAATCTGATTTAAAAAGTTAGTAGTAGTGTTTTTATACAACCAGAGCCTTGGGATAAGTATTTCTATATATCACAGTCCCTGTATAATCAAACACCTTATCCCGCAGTTTATGTTTACAACACTGCTATCTAGACATGGGACGATATGAGAATTTCATATTATGATTACCGTGGCCAAAATAATTGTGATACACAATAATGATAATCATGAAAATATACCTTTAAAATAACACTAAAACCTACTGTAATAAACACATATATTTATTGAATCACAGATAGGTACCTCATCTCCCTGTTCTTTATTTTGGAATCGATACTCTTCCCACACATGTGGTTTAACTTTTTTTTGTGGGGAAGCTGAGCATTCAGCCATGGTGACAGGTGTCATTTTTGGGAGGGCTATGAACGTTTGCTGAAATTATTAGGTTATGTTTCATACCCTAGAAAGGCTGAGTTTATAACTTTTAAAACATTATCAAAATATGTTGTTTGTCAAGGGGTGCCCAAACCTTGGCATACAGCTATAGACCTCATTCTTAATGATCTCTGCTAATGAAACCAAATTTGGACCCATTTGGATAGGATCCATTTTCACCTGCCCTTTTGCTGTTTCCACAGGAGTCTACTGGATGTGGACACATTCTCCAAGTCAGATCCTGGTATGTATGAACTCTTTACTGTGTGAAATGCTGCTAATGCTGCTAATGCTTTGTTTTGTCTGTCATTACTTTAGAGAATAAACTTCTTTTTTTTTGCTAATTTTGAACTGAATGTCAACTCTATATGTATGCATTTGCAGTTTACATAAAAAAGGGCGATGCATTTGTTGCATTTTTATTTTTTTCTACAGGTTTGTTGAACATGAATATTCCTTATTACAGCAGCAAAAGCAGTATGATACAATGAATTTTACTCTCCTCTGGCTCTTGTTCTGTTAAATAACTCAGAAGGTCAGAGCTATCAATGGGTGACAACACTGCTGATAAAATACAAGGAGAAGGGAGACTAAAGAACAAGGACAAGACTGAGGAGGGACTGAAAAGTCAAGGTTGAAGAAAGGTCACACGAGGAGGTTGGCTGAGCATCAATGTGTTTGGCAGTAGAAAAATGACAGGAGAAGGAATTAAGCTAAGGAGTATGTCAGAGCTGAGGAAAGAGGAAAACATTGCGTCGGTTAAAAAGCCTCCCTCTGCATGTACCCATTGTAGCGCTGGAATGATTTCTGCAACAACCTGTGGCCATTCACCCCTTGTATACACAACGTTGGTTACATTTTATGGTATTAAGGCAAGGATATTTATATTAATAATAATAATAATAATAATAATAATAATAAACTTTATTTATACGGCACTTTTCATAACAAAGTTACAAAGTGCCTTACTTTGATGCAACCAGGATTTAAAATTTCTGGAGGCAATAAGGCAAAAATAAATTCAGAGAATTCAAATCATATAGAAGAAAGGTAGAATTACAAAAAGGCACCCATCAGTAAAAATAAATACTAACAATGAAATCAGCCAAAATCAACTGCACTGCATGGGGCAAATTATTTAAACAATTAAAAAGATACAAAATTACAAGAATAAATACCCATGAGCTAATAAATGATAAAAACAATAATACTAATATAATTTCTAAAAAGATATGATGATTTAAGAATTGATTGAAAAGATGTCAATGATTCTGCAAGCCTCAGACCTCCAGGAGTGATACCTCCACCTGCACATCACCCGTCACAATCATTTAACATTGGAGGGTATCATCCCACTTATACAATGGCCTGCTTGCCAACAGAATCTGATCCATATATGATCAAATTATTAGTTGATCTTTTACTTAAAATACATTTTAGGATATAAAACACATTTTTGCTTGCTTTTCTGTTTCAACTCAACGAAATATATTTCCTGGGCCTCACAATTCCTGCTGCTTGCACTGTCTGCAAATCACTATATGCTTTAAAGTCTAGATCTCTATCACTAGCGTTTCTCTTTCCCTCACACACAGTTACATGTGACGTCTCATCTATTTTCTGTGTGTTCTGGTCACATTTTCCTCTCCTCCCCTGTAGTGTAGATCCCCCTCAGGCCCACAGAATATCTGACGTACCTTATTTTAAAAGACTCTCTTTCCTCCTCCTAACATCAGTTGATTTGTAAATTCAGATTCTTGCAAATGGGAAACACATTTGAAATTAAATTTCTTGTGCATGCATTTTATTTTGTTGGTTACACAAATAACACTAGCTCCAAACAAAGTTTAATACTGGCACATTAATGCAGAACAGCAAACACCAGAGCCATCGGTGTCTGGTTATGCTGTCTGGTTACGAGACGTTAATCCATAAGACATTCTCAGTAGCTGTAGTAATGATTGGTCTCCAGCAACGTGGGACGTAGGGGCATGGTGGTAGAAAACTAGGAGCTTATGGATCACAGATTGGGAAATGCTCACCATCTAGAGGATACCAGCGAGTTCAAAGTGCCGAATGGGCCTTTGGCACCACCAGTTTTGTCAGACCACATATTTTATATGGTGCAAAAGTACTAGAAAGTGGTGGATAGTTGTGCACAGAAGCAGGTGATGAAGGAAGTTTTTAAGTAAGACAGCTGATCAAGCTCAGTATCTACAGTAGTGTACTGTATACTGTAAGAAATGAGGAGTATTTTCAGACATGCTGGCATTATTAATATCCAGAATGAGTCAGGTTGTGTGCTCCTAACATGTGCAGCCAGGCAAACAGCAGGAAGTCTTTGTGTTACCTTTTCTGTGCTAACATCACCTGTGTATAAATTTATTAAATTATTCTTATTTTATTTATTTAATCTTGTTCTATCTAATTCTGATGCTTCACTGTCAATCATCTCTCTGCAAGAAATAGATCACTCCACCAACAACTCACAAGAAACATAATGGAGAAGCTCTTAAATATTTATTTCATTCTAAAAGCACAAAATCTCACCCAGTGAAGACAATAAGGGAATAAAACATGCAAAGCAGAGGAAGGCAGCTAAAAGACATCAAGAGCTGGACAGCATTAAATAAACAAAAAAGCATGGTGCAGGCTATGACAGTGTTAAAAAGTGGGAAAGAAGATAAACACAGCTAATCAAACTTCAAACAAAAAGCTGCTACAAGGGATCAATTGATGCACTTCTCAAGAATTTTCATAAGGCAGAAAACTACTGTCAGATCCAGCTATGTTTACACAATAATAAATAAAACAATATTCTTTTTAGCTTTGCAGATGTTCATAAGTGCTGCCTCTGATCAAAATTATCAGAGCAAAAAGTGTGACAGACAAGGCAACAGAAAAATGTTACAAAAATGTTTCAGTTGGAAACGTTATGACAACCAGACTGAGTGAGAGTGCATTTGTCCCTCCAAAAAGACTACAAAAAGCCAAAGAGCCGTGTAAAGAAAATTGCAAGGAGTGCTTCTCTGCACCTGGCAATCCAACTGCTCTGTTACAAGTTTTAGGTGTTCATCCCTTTCACCCTCGTGACACTAAAGCTTTCTGCTTTTACCAATAAAACGAGTCCAGCAGCCCCTGATCAGAAAAGCAGTGTGGTACCTTTGAGAGCCCATAGGGAACCACTTTCTCAGACAAAACGCTACCCAAATCAGCCAGACAGTCGGGCTTTAAATGAGTTACACAAATCACAGCTGGAGAGCACAGCTGTCTACCACATTACCCAGGCTGTTTCTTGAGGCCCGAGTGATAATGTCTGTGACTGGCCACAGATGTGAGGGTAGCCTGAGGAGCTACTGGGCTCCAACCAGTACAGACAGGGAGAAGTGGTGCATGAGCCTTTCCTTCAGTCCAAGCAACATAAGCAGATTTGGTGAACAGTGCTCAGAGCTGCCTGTTGCTATGTGCACCACACACAGCCAGAAGACGTAATTAGTAGAGACGCTATTACTAATTGTAAACTAAGTAGCACGGACAACACACAGGCCGAGAGGAAAGGTATGCCTTTTCTGTGTAAATAGAGTACTGCAGTAATGAGTCCTTAAAACTGAAACTGGAGTGTTTCCAGTTCCCTCGCCTCAAAGTCAATGGGTTTATTGAATAGAATAAACCCATTGAATAGAATAAAACCAGATTTAATGACTACAATCTGATTTAAACTAATATACATTTTCATCAAAAACTAAAGGAACAAAGATAAAAAAAATTAAAAATCAAGTGCCAGAATCACAAATAGCTGTGGTCTTTTTTACTCATAGCAACACTAATTATGAGAGTAGCTGTATTAATAGTTGTGTAGAAGCACCATGTGGCATCCTCCATGGCTGGCAAAAAAATCCAACACGGAAGTGCCAAGAACTGCAGTTCCCCATATTAAAATGCCCAACTTTACAGCTGTACAGGGGGTACGTTTGTATATAACTCACCCATTTAAATTATATTAAAGCTTAAACTTATGCATAATTAAGGGTGGGTGCTTTCACCCTGCTGCTTTCAGTAACCAGGCTTTATTCAGCCCACAGCTCGATGCACGTCCACCACGTCTCCACGTCTTTGCCCATGTTTTGATTATCCAGCAGCAGTTATTATAGTTTTTATTTTTTATTAGGTTTTATTTCTATTTAGTTTTGTTTTCAATTCAGTTTAGTTTCAGTTGGTTTCCAGATTAGGTTTGTTTATTTCAGTTTATCATTTATAAATGTTCATTTTACAGTAGTTTTTATTAGTTTCAGTGTTACTTTTAGTTTTATTTATTATATCATGGGGGGTACATGTTCAGAATAGGTATTACTATACAAACACATTGACTCACAGTGGTGTAGACATCCAGTCAATAATGCAGCAATGCCTCCTCATGCTTGTTTAAAAAAATTTGACCAAAGACAACATATATTTAGATTAATTTTACTGTAGTTAGTTGTTAGTTTAAGTACAAAATATTGTTTCAGTTAGTTTTAATATTTTCGAAGGTCTAGTTTTTATTTTTATGTCAGTTAACTAAAGTGTTTTTTCACACGTAGTTTTAGCTTTTAGTTTAGTTTTAGTATAAATGATACTTGATTGTACTTTAGACCATGAACCCCTATCTTTTGACAATGACCATTTCACTATGACAAAACCAATACAATGAACAAAACTCTCTGTGAAGACGGAAGTTTTTGAACGTTAAATGTTATGATCTGTGTAGCGTTGTGTCTGCTTTCGTTCTTTGCTTCAAAAGGTCATTGATTACACAGTTTTTTCCCCCATTTATTTACTTCATAAACCTACATTTTGGTTTATCTAATTTCGTTTCATTCTAGATGTTGCTTGCCCCTAAAACAAAAAAACGAATCAATAATATCAAAGACGGACAAATGCTGATGCATTTAGCAGGAGTTGATGAAAAGACAATATGCAATTCATAAATTAGTGCCAAAGATGACAAATGTCATGACCAGACTGGACAAAAATTATGTTTTTGGGGTTGGCTCCCAACATCAACCTACTATACTTTGTGCATTGTATACTGTATGTACACTTCCACGTTTCCTTTAAATACAGAACACACAGCAGATTATACATGGCAGCTTCATGGTGAGCCAGAGAGCAACCAGTACTCCTCTGCTGGAATAACCTGGCTATACTTGGCTCCAGATTTTCTGTCAGTTTGTTTGTGATCATTTGATTCTAAACAGTTTTATT